GCTTTGATGTTGATTCGCGACTTGTTTGCAATATACTGCCAATCGAACATCCAGTCAGCTTTCATGGTCATACTCGTCATGTCACAGAAACATACCTGCAACGGAAAACTTTCCACCTCAGCAATAGTCACACTCTCCCTCAAAGCACCATTCTCAACAGCCCGATCAACAGCCCTCCGCGACAACGCCTCCACAACTTCAGACACAGTCTTCATCTCAGTACTCTCAATTGCGTCCACGACACCACTAACCCTTGCCGTCGCAGCCCCAATTGCATTCGCAACCCCAGACCACGCAGGTTTTATAACCCTACTCGCTCCCTTCAACTCATCCGGCGCAATAACCGCACCCCCGCCGACGAGAACGACGGGTATGTCCTCGGGCGAGGTCTTCATCGTGTCCACGATCCGCTCCAGCATCGTCTTCACCTTGGCCTCGAACGCCGGTACGTCATCAGCGAGGCCGTTTACACCTTCAACGAGAGACCGGTCTCCGATATCAACGGTGTCTGGATCTGCGAGTACAGTATAATCCGTAGCCGTCGCAACATCGCCGCCAAAAACGAGAGCCTTTGTTTGGATTTGATATCCCACACTCTGTGGCCCGATCATCATCTCGCCGATGCGCTCGTCTTTCTTGACGATAGATCCGCCGCCGAGACCGATGCTCTTGACGTCCGGGTACGAGAAGTTCGTCCGCACCCCCGCGATCTCGCTGTAGGCTGCCGCTTGCCTGGGGAACCCGTTGGCCAGTAACAAACCCACGTCCGTCGTTGTCCCGCCGATATCGACAACCATCATCGGGCCCGCCCCCTCCTTCCGTCCCTCCAAATTCCTCGTGAGGAACGCCGCACCGCGCATGCTATTCGTCGGTCCGCTGGAGAATGTCCTGATGGGCAACCGCGCCGCCGCCGCCGCCGGCAGGATGGTCCCGTCGTTCTGCGTCACGAAGACGGGGCAGGTGAGGCCTAGCTGCGTAACGGCATCCTGGAAGGAGCGGATGGTTCGTCTAGCAAATGGAAGGATGGAAGCATTGAGAATAGCCGCGTTCTCACGCTCAAGGAACCCGATATTCGCCACATCCTTTGACATCACCACATCAGCTCCGGGATAAACATCACGAATAATCTCCGCCGCCCTCTCTTCTTGTCTGTACACGACGTCAATGGGACTGAAAACCCCCACAACGACAACACTCCCAATTCCCTTGGCGCGGATAACCTTCACCTCGCGCCGCACGGCATCTTCATCGAGCTCCGCAATCAAGTCACCGTCAATCTCCAGCCCGCCGTCCACCAGAGAGCGGTGGGCGCAGATGATGTTGCGCAAGGCGGGAGGCCAGTCGACGCCGGCGGGGATGGTTGCGGAGAAGGGACCGCAGAGGCGGATGACGGCGACGGGGGCGAGGCGGGAGGCGTCTTGTTCTACTACGGCGTTGATAAAGTGCGTTGTGCCGATTGTGACGCTTGCGATGCGGGAAGGGGGGATATTGGAGGTTGAGAACATGTGCGATATTGCGGTTGTGATGCCGGTGCTTGGGTTGGGTGTTGTTGGGGTCTTTTGAGTGGCGAGGATGCCTAGGGAAGGGGAGGAGGAGGTTGGATCGAGGATGACGCTATCTGTGTTTGTTCTGTTTGTTTTTGTTAGAAGTGAGTTGATGGTTTGGAGGTGGGAGTTTGGGGTTGGTGATATGAAGTTTGTCAACGCAGAGGTGAGGTGAGGCGAGGTGAGAGGGGCGTTACTCACCCGCCGACGTCGACGCCTATCCTCAAGGTAGGGACTGTCATTTTTGTGGATGAGCTGGTGATGTTGGACTTGCTTCCCTAATGCTTGGAGGTTCAGATAATTTGCATTGCATGTAAAAAAAACTGTCTATAGGGAGGGTGGTACGAGGTCCTGCAGTGAGGGTATTTGCGATAATGATAGCAGGTGAGATGCAAGACATACAACTGAAGTATCGCACCTTCTCCGACGCGGTGCCGGCATCGGGGTAGAGGCCGATGTTTCAACCCCGGATTCCGAGATAGTGGACCCCACTTCACCAACCTCACCTTACGGCGTCAATCCTATCAGGTACCAATGTGAAGGACTACTAGGTAAGGGAAGCTACTTACACAATTGAACATTTCCACCCTTGAGTTCAACACTGTCATTGGATTGGAATACTGGCAGACGAGTGAGTCCGAGACGATCGACCACCATTTCTTATCACCCAGCATGTCACCAGCGGGCAACGCCCCACTGCTCCGCATCCTTATCATCGGCATCGAGGATCAGGTTGGCCAGGGGGGGAGGGGGGTTACATCAAGGCCGCTATGAGAGCTGACAAGCTCGCGGGCACGTTGTCCGACGCTCGGAAAGTTGCCGACGTATGTCCTCTTTTCAGAAATAAAGAGGGCACGGGAATGGGGGCAAATGCAGACTTGCCCCGGAAAACTGCCTCCGAACATTGCCCGGCATGCAAGTCAGACAAGGTCGCAATTAGCAGGGCATATCTCCCTATGCTTCGCTCTCCTACAAAAATTCAGAAACATGAGAGAGAACGTGAGTGATGCAAGGATCTCGAGATAAGATGGTCCTATATATCCGTTAGTACACGCCCTTCCACGGGCTCGAAACGAAGCGTTCCCGAACGGTGCAAACGGAAATACAAACGTAAGAGCTTGCAGCGCCTAATCTGTCACGGCAACAATGGCGAACAAGACAGCGCGCAGAATCAAAGAAGCCCTGGCCCTCAAGTCGGACAAGTCCCGCCACGAAGAAGTCAGCGCCTGGTCGAACCGCGACCTTATCCCCTTGCCGCCCTCCCGCCGTACCTGGGGCTGGTTCAACTTTTTCGGCTCCTGGTCGTTGTAAGTTTGACTCCTCTTGTACTCTGAGAAAAAAAAATCATCCTATGTCCAAATACTGAACCTCTGCCCATTCCAACAGATCGTCTCTCAATGTCGCAACATGGCAGACTCCCAACACGTTCCTTACTCAGGGGCTCTCAGTCGGCCAGGCTATGGCCGTCATCGTCGTCTCGCGCGCCCTCTGCTGCTTCTTCGCCATCCTCGTGGCTTGGTGCGGTCTGACCTGGCACATCGGCTTTACCGTCCAGAATAGATATACATGGGGCTTCCGAGCGAGTTTCATACCGCTGCTGCAGCGCATTCTCCTCAACTTTATCTGGACCGCTCTCCAGTGTAAGCGTGTCTCTAGTCTTTCCAAGACGCCATCCCCCTTCTACATCCGACAAGATGACTGATTCGGGTTTGAACAGGTTGGAATGGAGGTAAACTAGTAACGTATGATTAGCATCCCCTCCTTGAACGAAGTCTCAAACACTGACAGTACACCTCTCGCAGCGTCTGCATAACCGCAATCTGGCCCTCCTTTGCAAAGATTCCCAACACCCTCAGCAAAACCACCCCAACAACAACCTACGAACTCCTAGGCTTCACAGTCTTCTGGATAGTTTCCCTTCCCTTCCTCTTCATCCGCCCCGAGCGCTTCAAAAAGCCGTTCTTCGTCTCCTCCGTCGCCTGCGGCGCCGCCATGGTCGCCTTACTCGCCTGGTCCGTAGTCGTCGCTCGCGGCGTTGGCCCCGTCTTCTATCAGGGCGAGAAAGTACCCACCTCGTCCCGGTGGAACGTCTCGTGGCTGATGATGGCGGGTATTAACCAGGCTATCGGTGGGAAAGCGGCAGGCATGACGAATAGTAGTGACTTTTCGCGGTACGCGAAGAATAAGAGGGATTATATCGTTGGTACGGTGTCGGTGTACTGGGTTACTGGTGTGCTTGTGTGCCTGAGCGGGCTGGTAACTACCGCGGCGTGTCAGAAGATCTACGGGCAGATTCATTGGAACCCGCCTGATTTGTTGATGGTTATGATGGACCGTGAGTCTTTCTCTCTTACCAATTACTTGTCGCCCCTTTCCTTTTTCTTCCTCTTCTTGTATCTCGTGAACCACCTTGAAGAATATCCAATGACATGATTGCCCACAGACGGCCAAGGCTCCCCCGGCTCCCGCGCCGCAGTCTTCTTCCTCGCCCTCGCCTTCGCCTTCACCTCCATGTTCGAAAACGTCTGCTCCAACGCCGTGGCGGGCGGCATCGACCTCGCCGGCCTCTTCCCGCGCTACCTCGACATCCGCCGCGGTGCCCTCCTCACCTTCGCCGCCGCCTGGATCATCCAACCCTGGCAGCTCATCAACCAGGCCGCCACCTTCGTCGCCGTCCTCAACTCGTTTGCCGTCTTCCTCGCGCCCATCATGGGCGTCATGGTCTGCGACTATTTCGTCCTGCGCCGTCGGCGTGTCCGGCTGACGCACCTGTTCAACCCGGAGGGGTCCGATTATTGGTACCAGCACGGCATCAACTGGAGGGTGATCCCGTGCTGGGTTGCGGGTTGGGCGCCGACGGTGGGCGGGTTGATTGTGAGTGCGGGGGGTGTGGGCGGTGCGCCGGACGCGGTGTACGAGCTGTACTATGTTGCGTTTTTCATTGGGTTTGTGATTTCGTTTGTTCTGTTTTGGGGAGTGAATGGCTTGTTTCCTGTTCAAGGTCTTGGGGAGTACGATGGGGTCGATGTGTATGGCACGTTTACGGCGAGTGAGGTGGCCAAGTTGGGGGTTACCCCTTGCGAAGAGGAGGCTGCTGTGTCAGGTTTCGGGAAGGAAGAGGGCATCGTGACTTTGGCGGGAGAGACTTCGGAGGATGCTCGTGGCGAAGAAAGACGATGGTGGAATCTGAGACGCCGCTGAGCAGACGATGGACCGGTAATTTATCGACGCGGTCTCTCGACTGTGTACGCGGAGGCATCATCTCAAAGTTAGCTACTCGATGGCAGATGGATCGAAGTCTTGAGGATGAGACGAAGAAGCGACGGTAGACGGATCGAAGTCTTGAGGACGAGATGAAGAAGCGACGGTAGACGGATCGAAGTCTTGATGATGAGATGAAGAAGCGACGGTAGGGGGATCGAAGCCTTGAGGGTCAGAAGAAGGAATGCCGACTTTCTAAGCCTGCATAGCCTCCCGAGCCTCATGTTGCCGGACAGCCTCTTCTTTTCCTGGCGAGGGATCTGAAACAATTTCCCCATCGTCATCGTAGTACCAATCGGGGGTATAGATAATGGGGTCAGCTCTGCCCGATAACGCTTGCATACGAAAAACGTCAAACTGCAATTGCAGGATATCGAAATCGGGGGCTTTGGCGTCTGCTGTGTCAAAAATGTCGATGATTTGGCCGTCGTCGACTGGTCGGGCATCCTTGTCGTGAACAACGTAGTCGTCGTCCCACGGGCTCAAAGTCCGCCATAGCTCAGCCAGGTTCGTTGGAAGATTGTCCGGCGTCAAGCCCATCGTTCTTTGTAGCCAGTGGAGTCGAATTCGAATACCGATCGCCTTCCTTGCGCGCTCGCCGTCTTCCTTGGTAGGCTTGGTTTCCTGCGGCAGCTCCACATCCCTCTCCTTGCCCTTGCCCTTGGCCTTGCCCTCGCTGGTTGTCTTGGACTTCTTGGAAGGCGTGATCTGGGAACTATCGCCGCCTCTTTTGGTACCAGATCTCGCAGACCTTGAGGAACCCGGCGCCCCACTCTCCTCATTGGGTCTCTCGCCAGCGACCTTTGAGGGAGTCGAGGGACCCGCAATGGCGGGTTCTTCCTTCTTGTCCTCTTCGTACAAGAGAGTGACGGGCTCTAAACCAAAAAGTCCATGGTCCCAAAACTTGTGAAGCATAGGGTGCAACGTGATCATATTTCGGGACGTATCGACAATGTTGGTGTTGGGGTTGACGAGCTTCTTGCGAAGCATTTGGATTCGTTCCCTTCCGAATACTGCGGATGCAGCGTCAAGTGCCTGGGAGCAGCGAGGCCTATTTAGAGTCCAGAACGGTAGGATGTGACACTTTTCACCGAGTAGGTGGCCCGTAAAGGCGCAAAGCCCGAGGTCTCTCTGGGCAGTCTAGCGCAAATGAGTTAGTCGAGTGCAGATTCCCATCACAAACAAGCGACATACCGCAATTCGCTCAGCATTGCTTCGCGAAATAGTACCCGTCTTGACCCATTCTGCCGCCGGGCCTCGGACTAATTATGAAAATGTTAGCCTGTAGGTACAAAATACGACGAAAAAGGTTGTTGTCATCCGCATTAAAGGAGCGTCTGCCAACTTGGATAGTTGAGATGACAGATATCTGACGATAGAAAAGAAAGATGATATGGAAATATACTCACATAGCAAGATAAGGGCATTCATTGCGGGGAATGAAACATTGAGAGTGTAGACCAGGTTGTCGTTGTTCTGTACCTCGGCCAAGAAGGTTCGGAGACGAGGCAAGGGCAGGACCATGAGGTGCGCCCACACCTCTTTTGTCTCAAGGATTTTGATCTTGTCCTCCTCCTCTTTGATGTAATCGCGGTTGAGTATTGTGTCTCGAACTTGCTGCACAAGCTCGAATCGCTCGGTGAGGTCCCCTTCCCCATTGTCGCCGAGCCAGCCGTTGTTGTCGCGCGAGGCCATGTTACTTACGTCTAATGTTCGATGTGAAAGATTTTGCCCAACCTGGTATTACAGACGAAAATAAAGTGCCACACGAAGTGGACTGTTCGGATGAAAACTCAGAAGTGAAGATGGCGGAAATCTCGGCTGAAGTGGGAGGTATTGGTAGAATGATAATGGGATCTCGTGAGGAATTGAGAGGAGAATCAGAAAATCAGATTCCCTACCGAAAGTTAAGGTAGCTATTAATACCTTGGCTGCTTGTTGCCTCTTCACCTGAAATCGAAGGATGGAAGGCACCTTCCCCCGCGAGAATGTGTATCGGCTTTACTAGAGGTGTCTTCCAAGGCTCCATGCCAGTCAAGTCACCTGAACCGAGACCTTTGATGGGCGATTATCCAAGGTACTTACTTACCTTAAGTTCATTGCCTTATCTTTTCTCTTTACAAATCACCCAAAGATCTTACCTGATCCGAAAAGACCTTTGGCAGATGAATTAGACTTCTTAGGATTTATTCATTAAAGAATGCACAGAGAGTTGATCACAATGACAACAGAAGTAGCACCAAGAGAAATAGTACCAAGAGAAACAACACCAAGAGTGATGACATCAAGAGTGACAATGATAGTGAAAGCAGTAAGAGAACCTTCTATGGAATACCTTAGGTAAGTTGAGTGTCGCCCGTTTGCCTAGGTTCCTTAGGTAGGCAGATACATACCTATGCACACATCAAACCTGCAGAGGCCCCGTCCTTCTCCCGCCTTCCATCTCCTCCAGCACCACAGGGTACCTAGGTACCTTGCGTGGGTACGTTACCTACCTTGAGGTGCCTTAGGGCACCTACGGTAGGTACGTTCCCGACGTCTCAGCGCTACCCCACCCACTTTAGGCACTAGTCTTTCTAGACTCACCTCCGTTTGACGCGCATTAAGCATCGTGCCATCGACTCAACCACAACCTTATCATGCCCCCGACGTCGGTGTCGTTGCCGCCACGTAAACGGCGCAAAACGCAGCTTGCCTGCAACCCATGCCGCGCTCGTAAGTCTGGATGCGATGGAGCGCGTCCGGTGTGTTCTTCTTGTACATCCAAAGGTTGGCCGCAACGGTGCACATATCAAGAGTCCGTCTTGCATGCGTCATCAACACCGTACGTGCCGTGAACTTTCCGATCCTTCACCTCTAGCCAAAGAACAGAGATTGTCTTGCTGTCAATTGAAATTGGCTGATCAATCTTGGCAGATCAATTTCCCAACTGTCAAAGAGGCTGGAGCGTCTGGAAGAGCTACCCGCAGCTCAAGCTCGTAACGGACTGCCGCATCCGCCGCATCCCGATTCCGACCCAGAAAGAGACGTTTCTGGAGGAGCTCATAATGTCTTTCCCCTGACTACCAACGGATCAACCACTCCTATTGCCACCATCACTCCCCGGCCGCCCGCTCAACTCTCAGCGACAAACGCCGTACAATCTGCTTCACCATTGTCTCGCAACGAAGCCGATGGCGATGCCATGTACGGTCCTTCATCCAACAGCTCATTTCTACGACTGGTGACCGAAGCTGCGGGCCCCAGAAGCTCAAACACAAAGAGTCCAGAGGAGCTGGCTGGCCAGGATGCAGGAGAAGTCGCCCCTACAGTACTTGGGTTCGCGATAACAACGCAGCCAAAGAGTCCTGATATCCTACCGGACCCTGTAATGCTTCCCGAGAGGTGGCTCGCCGATAATCTCTTCCGCTGCTTTTGGGATTTTGTCCACCCCGTGTTTCCCATACTCCACCGGCCGTCGTTCACCGCGTCGTACGAAGCGGTTTGGCAGCCATCTCAAGGCCGACCTCCCAATCGAGACTACAAGGACACTGTTTTCCATGCCACCTTGAGCATCGTGCTGGCTCTTGGGTGTCAGCGGACAGATCAGGTCTCGGTAACGGAGCAAGTTCGCCTAGCCAATAGGTTCTATAAGCAGTCTTTTAAGCTCGTGTCAGTCGATACGCTCGATCACTCCTCTCTGCAACTCGTCCAGCTATTGCTACTGAGGGGCGTTTACCTACACTACACGCAATACGCAGACCGATGTTGGAACACAACCGGAGTCGCACTGCGAGTTGCGCAGGGTCTCGGATTGCACTCCCGCGGTGATGGACCAACGTCCTCAAAGAGTCAGCTCAAGAGGGAGATGAGGCGACGTGTCTGGCACTGTTGCTTAACTTTAGACAGGTAGGCAGAAGATTCTCCACCAGCACCCGTGGCACCCGTGTCGCTGCCTTCGCTTGCTCGGATCCAGATGATTGCCACCCAGCTAACGTCAACGCTTCCAAGACTCACGGCAACCACCTTTGGGAGACCTGTCCTTGTGTCTCGGCAGTACTTCGTCCCTCCGCCGGAACCTATCGACGATGAGTATTTGTCTGAGAGTTCCGAAGGCCTACAACCGTCGGATCGCCCTTCGTACCTGGCCTTCTTTGTACACTCCGTTGCGCTGTTTGATGTGCTGAATGAGATACTAGCCAAATTCTACACCGAAGGCGAATCTGTCTCGGACAAGACACCCGATTCACTCAGTCATGTCCTGCAGCTCTCGTCAAAGCTCGACGAGTTGGGCCATTCAATCCCGCCCTACCTCAGAGAAGGCGCGGATTTGACACGGCTAGACGAAGAGTTGCGAGGGTGTCTGCAGATGCAGGCAAACATCCTCAAGTCGAGGTAAGGCGGCTTTCTCCCAAGCCTCTTCCTTCATTCTTCTCTTAGAGAAAGTCTGACTTATCGCTCTGTCACCCAGAGTCTTATGGATTCGGCTTCTCCTCCTTCGTCCGCTCCTCTTGGCCGAAGCTAAGCACGGTAGTCGGCCCCAGAAATCATTCGCAACGGCCGCCACGCATACACTTCGAGACAGTCTAGGACACTCGGCGAACTTACTCTGCGTTTCGACGGCTCACAGCGTACTACAGGAGCTTTACGAAAAGCTGGGCAGCGTCAGGCAGAACTCGGCCTGGCATGTTCTACTCTGTACGCAAAGTTTTCCTTTTCGTCCCCTTCTGCCTGCTTGCCTCTTGCGTATTGCCCTTCTAGTCTTCAGTTCAGGTTTGGCGATTCAAGCTAAATCTTTGTTTGCTCTCTCATCACAGTTACCTTTGCCGCAGCTTCCACTCTGGTAGTCGCGACCCTGTGCCCCGATCTCCACGTCAGCTTCGAAACAGAGCCGACAAAATCCTCGTGGGACAGAGCTTTGCGCATCTTTGATTTTCACAAGCAGCACGTCGCGTCTGCCAGCCGAGGCATCGAAGTCTTGGAAAGATTTCGCGCATCTGTCATGGCTGCCGCTTCGCAGCGAGACGCTCCCAGCGGGGCCCCCGCCACCAATGGTAAGAGAAGAATACACGTGGAGAGCACGAAAGGGGGTTTACTTTTCCTATTGATGAATGGGAATTAGTAGACTCAACAGAAGAGAAGCTAACCATTCTTTTGGCGCTCTTACATAGCAGAAACATACGATGCGCGACTTGAGCAACCAAGCGAGCAGGACGTCTTGATCCCGTTTGGCTCTGTGCCTGGTTTGAATCAGACGACCCTGGCGCAGGATTTTGGGGATTTCACAGGCTCTGATTTGCTCAATGAAAGCTGGTTCAATATTCAGGGGATAGATCTAACCAACTGGGGAATCTTTCAATAAACGCAGCGATCATGAATGACAAGGGCACTAATCGATTCCACTAAGCCACCCCCGTCATCCACCTCCTGTATCTTACAGTGTACGACATTACCACATAAGATGACGGTCCTCTTTTGGCTGAAAAAAATATAGACCCAAGATAACTGAGCTACGAGTCCACTCAGGTCATGTGTCCCTACCAAGCATGGAAGATTTCCAGTTCCAAATTGATGGACATATTCGACCGGAAACCGCTGGGGAGCGATTGAGATTCCTCGCCTCAGCGCCCATCTTGGTAGGGCAGACATGGAAGCCAACGGGAAAGCTGAGTTCTCAGAGTGGAATAAACCAACTATTCAGTGTGGGCTATTCAACCTACTAATATGATACAAACAGAATCCCCTCTCAAGACACAGGCGCCTCAGAGTCATGGAACTCGCCCAGCTTGAGCAGCTTCTTCGCATTATCACGCCCAATCTTGCGATAATTCTCAACGCCGCCCACCGCCTCCTTCACCTCCTCGGCCTGGCCGTCCCACCAAGCAGAGCACATCTCAATTGTCTCGTACGGGTAATCCACCGAGAACAGCACGCGGTCGGCCCCAATCTCGTCCACCACATACTTCAGCGCGCGCGTGGAAAAGTTGCCCGACGTGGTGACGTAGATATTCTCCCTAAAGTAGTCGTACACGGTCCTCTTACACATGCGGTCCGCGTTGCCCTCCGCCGCGGCGATTGGCTTCTTCACGTCCTCGAACCAGTGGTTGATGCGCCACAGGTCGATGGGGAGGTGCTCGCCCAGGTGGCCGACGATAATCTGCAGCTTCGGGAAGCGGTCAAAGACGCCGTTGGAGATGAGTCCCATGAGGTGGAGGTTCACGCCGTTGGCGAAGGACAGGGGCGGGCCGATGAGGTACTTTCGCTGCGCGTAGAGCTTCTCGAGGACAACGTCGGCGGGGGCGGCCGGGTGGATGTACACGGGCACGTCGAGCGCGCAGACGACCTCCCAGAAGGCGTCGTACTCTGGCTGGTCGTAGAAATTGTACGTCTCGCCGTTGGGGCCGGCGTGCTGGAAGTCGCAGAGCAGGGCGCCGTGGAAGCCGAGGTCGGTCACGCAGCGGCGGAGTTCGCGGCCTGCTTGGACGGGGTCGTGCATCGAGAGGCAGGCGAAGGCGCCGAGCTTGGCGGGGTTGTGCTTGATTTGGCCGTGGGCCCAGTTGTTTACTTCGGTGGCGCGGCGTTCGGCGGTGGCTTGGTCGGCGATGCCTTGGATGCCGGGGACGGTGAGGGAGACGATGGTGTAGCCGATGCCGTGGGCGTCGGCGAGCTTTACGCGCTCCGAGTTGAGGTCGCTGATTTGGCGCATGTAGCGGGCGCGGTCGGAGGGGTTGATGTAGAGGGAGGCTTCGTACTCTGACTTGGCTTCCATGCCTGTCATTTCGTAGGCTTCCTCGAGGGCGATCTTGCCGAGCATTTTGATGGTTCGTGGTAGTGGTGGTGGTGTTGGGTGAAGTGTGGTGAAATGTAGAGGGTGAGGATAACCGACTTCTTATATAAGAGATGCCTGGAGGTGGTTCTTGTGTTCTGATGAGCCAGGAACAGAAGCTCTTGGATAGGAGCATCGTCGACCGGTTCTTATACGGAATCGAATCTCTCATTCCTCACCTCTCGAAGACTCACTAATCACAATGGTAACTCACTGCGAGGCGACACCCGCTCATCCCGAGAACTCCGGCCAACATGACGTCTGCGACACCCCATCTCACATTCTGATTGCAACTTCTAGACTCTGGAGGAGATAATGGAGTCGCTGAATCATGTTCATGGTCTGATGGCAGCATCTCCAGTTTTGCAGCGGCATCCAATGTCCGCCAAGAGATCTACTGCCGTTCCCCAGGTGCTGTTCCGATATCCAATGGGAAGTGCGCGTTATCTCCGCGATGACCCCACCGGGTAGAAGGTGCGCTTCCGAAGTCTGGCGTCATAGCGGAGGCTCCGATATGGGTCCTTACCGGCCCGGAAGACTTTGAATGTCTACCTAGGTCTCAGGACACGGGAGAGACCGAGTTCGTCCCATTCATCGGGTGATGGCAAATGTGCTCGCTCCACAATATGGACTTAGTCACCTTGCTTGGGCGAAAATAATGAGCCTCCACCGAGATTCTGTGCATGACTCTAGCTTGCTACGTCAGACTAATCTCACTAATCAAATGCTTGAAAATGAGAGCAGAATCTGTCAGTTGCTTGACTAAATCTCACATGGAACGAGTTTCTATTTCTGAGCCAAACATGAACCTGATCCGATTTTGTCTCTTCCAAATAGTCGTGCAGGAAGCACAAAGGCTGAAGCTGTTGGAACAGAATCTAGCACGCGTCTTCATGACGCATCACAACCAAGTGATTCAATCATCACAGAGACTCGGTATAAAAATGTATCAGCTATTTCGAAGCCTTGTTTAGTGGTCTGATTGTCTTCGAGTTTCCAAAAAACACCGGGAAAATTGTGCAAAAGTCCATGCCAACATGAAGCATCAGCAGGCGCCTGGAGATGGCCTTGAAACGCCGATGGCGACATTTTTGAGAGAATCAAGTTATCTATCAGAAAATGCGCTGAGCGAAAGCCATCGTCCCAGTCAATAAAAGAATTTGGCTCGATGTGGGAAAGTATGGCTTTGCCATTGAAGTGTTTCAAGGGGATTAAATCCAAATTGACAACTGACGCCTGCTACTCACTTTTGAATTTCCAATATAATCACTATTGATGCGTGAATTTACGCAAAGACTTGGCTTCTTGGATAATTTCTGCCAGCAGTCATTAAACCGCGCTCTTGTGCTTCGTAGGCGACAACAATCGAAGAACAATGGGATACGGTTACATCCATTAACAAAGTACCCCTCTAGGGTAGCGCAGGTACTTATCATGCATGATGTTTGCTGACGCGCGCGCGTCAAGAGCTAAGGTGTAAGCTGCAGAGGCCCACCTACCATGTATACGCAATGTTCTCCTCCAAGACACCGCTCTCAACGAATCAGCCTCGAACTTGGAAAGAGGGGTTTTTTGTGGTACAAGGCCGCACATTGGGCATGAGCATTCGATTCAAACACGGGCGTTGCATATTAGGCAACAATTTGGACGAGTCTCTTGCTGCCTGCAGTTTCTTTCAAGATTGGGCGCCGTGTGTGTGTGTGTGTGTAATGGTTCTCTGCAGTGGGCTTCGAACCTCATTGAAATCAGAGTCCGGCGCGCTTTTAGTCGGCGCACAGGGGCGTTGGTTGCAGGGTCAGTTGTTACCCATCCAGTTTCTCCTTTCATTTCCTGGTTTTCTATTGCGCCGTGGGAGGGAGACGATTCTGAGGCACTGCAGTGAGGAAGTAAGGCCACGAGGACGATGCATGTCCACAGTCCTGCGTCTTCAAATGTTAGTTCTCTGAACCTTTAATGGTTTTCTACGCCGGTGGGTGCTGCTTGACGTGAACAAAGAGCGAGGCCATCCTTACATCCCTACTGCCTTTATATGATTTTCATCGTGCCAGATCGTCATATCTTCAATTGACGGGCATAATCTTCCCAGCGTCTGACATCAATCTTTTATGCCCCAAAGCACCAAGATCCGACCTCCCGTTTCTTGAGCTTCAACCCGCAGTGGTTATTATGCCCGTCTTGGCCATTTTTCTTTTCTCTTTTCTTCTTTAGTTGAATGATGGATGAGCGGTAAATAATCTTAGAGCTTATCGATAATCTTCATACTGCCATCCTCGAAGCACTTGACTCTCGGTTTGGGGCTGATGTCGTGGTAGCCCTGAAAGCGGCAGTAGCTGTGGTTGCAGTCCGTGAGCCATCTGCAGTGATGGCCGAGTGTGCAGTTTACGTCGTCGCATTCGGAACCCAAGCTACAGGGGATACCGCGAGACTTTTGTCACAAATTAGCCTAATGCCTACAAATGAAGAAAGACTACCCCATGAAATCACGAAGCGAACGAATGAAACTCACCTTTTGCTTCAATAGTACCATTTCGCTGGCGCTAAGCTTATCGCCGTGGATGTAGGAACAGACTGGATTCTTACACTCGCCGTGTAGGTGGTAATTGTTGCAGAACTTCTTGCCCGTCTCCGTCATGCGCGCGTTGAACCTCTTCTCTACCATAGGGTCGACCTTTGGCAGCGGCTCGTCGATGCGCTGGCTGTCGGCGTTCATGAGGTAGTATTTCGGCTGCGGCGCCTTTTTTGTAGAAAAGATGTCAATGGGCTTGGGCGCCGTCGAGACCCGCGTCAGCGTAGACCAACTAGACGCGGGCGTCTGGGAGCCGCTGGACAGCGGACTGGTAACGTGAGGCGGCTCGACGGGGGCACCGTTGTTTGCGGAGTTGGAGTTGGTGTGGTACGGGCCGGTGGGCGGTTTAGCGGCGGCGGAGATGGTGGCGGTCGGTGCGGAGGAGACGGGAGGAGGAAGCATACTCGGCATGCCCATAGTCTGTCGCTGGACTCTTTCGGGAAGCTTTTCCGACATAAAGACAGAGTTAAAGATAATTCTGTGGAACTTGAGCTGTTTAAAGCCCTCCTCGGCGGGGGTCGTCTCAATGAGAGTGAACTTTGAAGCCACCTTATCGTCTAGCTTATACGGCTCCAGGACCGGGAGGTATCCGTTATCGTGGCAGGGGCCGAAGAAGATATGCTTGCACTGGCCGATACGGACCATGACGCGGAGCATCTCGCGGATCTTGTGGTCGGCCGACTCCTTGCCTGAGCCGACGTCGATGAAGCTGAATAGAGGCTGAGCGCGGCCAAAGCCGCGTCCGAAATCGATGAGAGTTCGTTCTGAGGTGGTGAAGGGAATGATACCGGATGCGTGCAGCTTCTTTGCAAGGCCATCCATGTTAAGTACCACCTGTACGATTATGTTCCAGTCTTCGCTGGCAGCCTCAGGGTAGGCCTCGGTAACGTAATTCTTTATCTCTGTCGACAAAAGATACCCGGCTTCGGCACCTCCTTCTGCGCCCCTCTTCAATAAAGATTCCTGAAAGATGGCGCCGTCACCATCAATTATAACAAAGACGAATGGATTAGATTCCTGTCTCACAAGTCAGCACCTTCCCATGCTTGGCTCGGGCGTGACAGCTTGAGCTCAGCGCCGAGGGCTGGTCGATGAGTTGGTTGAATGGGCCACGAACGAGGGGAGAACCAGACGTACATTTGCCTTGTTAAGAGCCACTACGTCCTTTCCCAGATTATTGGCCTTGGTCTGCCACATCCGGCGCGATTCGCGCTCATTATTGTAGTCATCGCACTTTTCCCGGTAAGCTTGCTGAAGCTGGCCGTGGCGAGCAAGTAGATCCTAGACAATGCTTGTCAGTAAACCGCTCGTGAAATGAACGAAGCAATATGGCAATAGCCATGGCGTATGCCATAATCAGGCAGTCGAGGGCGTTGCCATCGTCGGGGCTCCAGAAATCTCAAAATCTCACCTGGATCATCTGATCACGAGTGTAATCATTGCGGCGGAAAAGCTCCAGTTGTTGCACGTATGCCGATAAATCCTCCATTTCGTCCATGGTGTGCTAAAGCGGTAGCGACAAATTTTCTCAAACGAACCCGCTCTCCGTAATACCTATTATTGACTGTTGTATTGATGAAAGAGTGATGCGGCGACGTCTATGAGTTGGTGGTGAGATTGGAGGGGGTGAGGTGAAGTTGATGAAGTTTTTGTGACCAGACCCGGGGAAACATGCCCTTACTTAAGCGTCTCAGGTGGGGTTAATCCAGGGGTGTTGTTGGAGCGTTCTAGGTTGCTTCCAGGTTCCTTCCCTTCAGGCCATTCAGATTGCCGGGCGGCGATTGTTTTGGGGCTAAGAAAAGCCCCCTGTAAAAGGATCCCGCGCTAGGGGTCCCCTCTTGTACTGCCCTGAACATATTCAGATCATATGTTGAGCATGTTCTCGTCATGATTGAATAAGAGAATAAGAGTCCAACAACGCCAACCTTCATAAAATCTTCTGAAATGGTGGCGGAAAAAAAAAAGAAAGGTAAAAAGATCAAGTGTGCGAACTGTTGACCGCGAATTTGTTTGTGCGTAAGCGGAGCGCTTGGTATGGAGGCGGCTGCTTGTGTTTGTTGTCTAAACGTGGCATGCCCTGTTTTGTCCCTGCTATCTTGCGTCTCCCACTTTGTCGAGTCGTCCGAGCTTTGTGACAAGTATCCCTAAAGTCTGGGCAAACTCACATGTAGTGGGCAAACTCACATGTAAAGAACGAGTTGGCTTCTGACATTTGGCGCTTAACTTTGTGCACGACTAAGATTCTAGGATTTTCCAAATCATGTTTCGGGCTTTTTCTGAAACTAATCAAGCCGTCTGCTAGCATGACAGCTACGTACTTGAGTAATTGAGACTCAACCACCAACCAGTGGACACTGATCGGATCTCATTCCAACTCATCAACTGCTTAACCGGGCCTAGATTGAACGAACCAACGAATCGGAGCGGCAAATGAGAATGGCCGTTCAAAAGTGACAATAATTGAGGAGTTGACGACACTGCGGGCTAAAGCTTCCTCAGGTTTCCTCATCAATTGCAGATGAATTGCTGACATTCCCCAGCGCACGATATCAGTAGTTTGTAAGCAGCTAGAACAGATAGATTGAGGGTTTAATACAAGTTTTCCTATGTATCTTTTAAGCTAGTTTCCCGTGCGCATGACTTGATGTCTTGTCAAACAAGCCTGTTCTAACAAGCTATGCCGGCACTTCAACTGCACGTATTGAGAACGCATATATACCACCACAAATGACTCATGAACCGTGCCTACTTCCATGGAGCTTTAGGCTTCTTTGGGTGGATAGAAATTCAGAAGCGGTTCAAGGGCGCAATCCAGATTGAAACAAGCGAAAACTATGAATCAGGAATGCAATTTAGGCAGATCGCAACGCAGCATGTGGACTATTGATAGGGCGAATGGCCGAGTTTGTCATCATCGTCATCTCAGCAGGTGTGTTGATTTCACTACGCCTGGAGGAATTCACTGTTCTGGAGAGAGAGAACCACTTAGCAATAAATTGAATGCTAAGTACGCCCAAAGACAAGGCACCTCATACTAGCTTACCTACCTAAGTGTAAACAACACCGAAGTAACCGACAATCGACTCCTCCTCAGACCACATTACCTAAGGTACCCCATAGCAGGACACCCGACTACAAGATACAAAATCACAAAGACCAAGAAAGCAGACATAGCCATTGAAGATGTGTTTCGGATTCTCTGGCGGCGGTGGATCCCGTGGCAACTCTAGGCGGGCTACTCGACGACACCGGGAGCCACGTTAGACATTCAAACCTGATTTTAGGGGAGGAACTGCTCCGAAGATACAAAGAATTCAAAATTCATGGCTAGCAAGAGAATGGATAATGAATGAGGCGAGGAGGTTGAGGAATGGATAGTATAGTACCGATGAGCTCTGACCTTCAACAAAGCGTCACTGCTGGGCCTAATTCCGTTCTCATTCAACAAGGGCTCTCAATATCTAGCCAGGGTCATTCATTGACCCATTGGGCACCGCAGTAAATCATCTCAGTTCACCATAACCGACTCCTCAGATCCACGAGATACCATGTGATGTCTCTCTAACGTGGACGCCTCATAATCGGCCGTAACTTTGACCACCAGTGATCATCGATTGGCAAGCTCAATGCCGTGCTCTTCCCGTGGTACCTTTTTCCCGAACCGACGGCCTTGGCCATCATAATCGATGGAGTCCACAGATACCTCCGTTGTTTTCATAATCCCACCTAAAATTTCCTGATCACTGTCATTGTCTCCCTTGTCGCGGTCCATATTTCTTGAGGAGCAGGTAGCAGACATGCCGCGATTCTGAAACTTGCTGACGTTATCCGATCGAATGTATGCGCCAGAGGGGTATCCTGAAGGTCGGCTACTCAGAGCGTTTCGGAAGAGCACTCGAAGAACGGGAATGGAGGCTGCAATGATGGTCGCATTTGGTTCTGCCATCGCCCAGACCCAAAAGATGCAGACCTTCCAAAAGTCTTGAACAATGGTCATCAGTGAACGTGAGGAGAAACTTATGAGGCCAGTTACTCACAATCAGGGCCAAGGAAGTCCATGATCGCGATGCTCTGGACAGCTTTCGTTATACCCATCACACCCGCTCTGGCCAGGCAGCTTCGGGTTAGCTGAAACTCTCTAGAAAAGGAGAAAGAAGGTGGAAAGTGGTGCCATGCTTACAAGATCCCCATGCTCATGGCCATTCCAACGCCGATTTTTTCGTGCTTCTTCATTTGTAGGCTCAAAACGATCTTCCAAGGTAATAACGCGAGAACAAAATCTGAGACGGCGGAGTACACTATCAATAGTCAGAAGGCCGGAGTGCATAGAATAGCTTCGCGGGAAAAAGGACATACATCCTCCAAATATTCCCAAGGTGATTGCGTCTTGCGCTGACCAGCATGAGCCTGGAAGGTGAGGAGTCGTATCTCCAGGTCTTCTAGGGCAAACAGCTCTCCAGGTGAGAATGATGTGGACGATGAACTGGATGTTCATGGTAATGACCAAGAACCAGATAATGTATCTCTGCCACCCAGAGGCAATTCGAAGCAACGTAACGGCAAACGAAGTTTTTGTCAGAGCCAAGGAGATCTTGTGGCAGTTGTCGGCGCAATACAATATCGTGCTCATGGCCGGCGTGACGCCGTAGGTTCTCGCGAACCCTAGCCTCATCATTTCGCTCAAGAAGGACTGCGAGGCGATCAGAAAGAACCATCCGGCGATCAAAAGCCAGTCGTCCAGCCACATCATCCACCTGACTCTGAAGCCTTTGCAGTAGATTCGGAGGGCTAGAAAGACTGTCGAGATTGCTGCCATGGGCCATATTGAGCCATTGATCAGCGCTGCTGGATCACCTGGATTGACTGGGGTAGGCAGACTCTCAACCCGTGGCGTAATTTTCAATGGGATCATCGAGAAGGGTTGTTGACATTGATGGTTTGAACTGAAGTTTGAAATCACCGTTTATTTCTGCAGCCGCAGACTTAAGAGAACCTATGATGTGGAATTCAGCAGAAAGTAGAAGAAAAGCCTACAGACCAGTGCTGCTTCATGACAAAGTCCAAACGGAGACACCAACCGTGTTCAGAAAATCGGTGGTTTGAATGGGTCAGCGAACCGGTTGGAACTTGTGAACTCCCGGTCTGGTGGCGTCTTGAGAATACCAAGGGTGAGATAACCCCCGAGAACTTTTGATATTAAGGACGAAATTTCCTGTTGCTGTAACAGAACGAAATCTTCCCAAGGTTTCCCAATGTGCATAACGGCTTGTTGGTCCTTCGCTATACCCATGCTTGCCTCCAATGTATGAGGTCAAGTCTGTCAGTCGAGCAGGGGACCCCTCCGGCAGTAAATCCCTTATGGAACCCGGAGATCAATCTTAGCATGATTTCGAAGCCATGCTCTGGGAAAGAGCCTGTGACTTGCTGACTGGGAGCGGAGTTACAGATATTCCCTGGCATCGAAATACGTGCCCCGTTGGCGCGCCAATGTTTGTTGGACGCATGCAAACTAAGAAATCTTCAACCAACGGGCAGAGACAAGGATTCGAAATTTGCAAGGAGGATTTCACATTTGGATTCTACCGCTTCAGATGACAAACGAACTTGCAAAGCTCGTTCAATACGAAGGGATGTTGAATGACTCTACTTATCGTTAGGATAGAGAAGTCCGGAGTACTTTGCGTATTGAGGAACTCATTTAATCTCAAGTGGGTTGTCTTGTTCTTCGCTGACCGTGGACCAAGTGTCTCAAACTGTTGGTTGCAACAATACTCTATTGCCAAGGCCACTTCGGGAGCCTTCCGGACCTCGCCACCTGTTGGAACCATCTGCAGGTTGGTGGCACAGCGTATCGGTTCTGCATCATTACATTACGCGCGATGCAGCTAAATATCCGCAATTTGGAACCGCAATCTGTGACGGCGTTATTTGCTAAATGCAGCATGTTATCGTTGCTTTTTGCCAGGGGCCCCTTTACTTTGCCACCATCGCTTGCCATAATAGTCTCTTTCTCAAATGCTTGGTTGCGACTCCATCTCGGATTCGCTTTCAGAGTGTACCTTTCTTCGTATCCTATCTCTCACCTCGAGCGACGCAGGCTTTGCTCAAGATGAAGCTGCACGCATTTTCTTCCAGAGCTGAGTCGTTCGTTGATATGTGATCTCCCACGTGGCCTGACGTTGAAGTCTGAAGAAGACCTCTTGTGTCCACCGCGACGCAGCCAACGTTCGGAACCATGGCTCTTCTTTCCATCTTTTCCACCGCGCTTCTGCTTCTCGATTCTTCGACTGCTCAAATCATTGCAGGCTTCCAACCAAGTATCCGTCAAGTTCCGGACGTAACTGGTTACTCAGGTGTAAGTGCGCTCCTTTCCGTGCAATTTGGCCTCCTGGAGGGTTCAACCCAAAAAATGCTGACCTTGTTTCGACGCAGTGCGATGCTCTTATTGCAGCTGGACTAGTCAATCGGGTGTTCTTTCCGCCTGATTCGGAGTATAAC